TAGTTAATGGTAAAAAAAATTTTTATGTATATAAAGCAGAAATGAAATAAATCGAAAATTTCATTTTTTAAAAAAATTGGGCGTTACTTTTTGCGACGACTGTACATGCAACTCTGATAATTCAATTTCCTTAAGATATGTCCTGAAAAACAAATATCGCTATGGTGGTAATTTAACTTTACGATCGGTGAACCATTTGGTTAGGTTCTAACGTTACATTATGTCTTGGCTTTGTGCCAGTTTTAATGCTAGGAGCAGGCCGAGAAGATAATATAAATTCGGTTTCTTGTCCTAAATTGCATTAATTGATTATATATCGTTTGTATTCTGATTTTTGACATGATAACGATCAATTTTTCAAACTTACATATGAATCATAAATACTAACTACTTTGCTTGAACTGACCATATGCATTAGCATAATACTCCAAGAAAAAGATGTGATTATAAAGAGGGTGACTGCATGAAACAAACGAAACATCACACACTACCGATATTGTTCGTGTGCTTGAAACAACATCACGTGATTAATTATTTTGGCTCATCAAATACGAAGTGTCAATGTGAACATATGTATTGATTAATAAGTTAAAAAATCTATGAAGGGCTACTTGATTTGCTAAGTATACCTGATGCTTTATTTCGAGATACGTTAAGACTCAAGGAGACGAAGAAATTTGGCATGAGTGTTTTCAAGCTCGTTAAGATATTGAATAATAATAAGTTTATAATTGATATTATTGTTATTATTGTTATTATAAACATTAATAATAAAATCATATAAATTTTGATTTATAATTCCAGATATCTCTTGGCCCGTATTAGGGGCGGTCTCAAAATTTGTTGAACTAAAAGTTGTATTACGAGAAAACAAAGTTCCCGAGACATTTGACGATTGGGGAAATTGTTGTTGTCCCGGAAAGGTAAAAATTTCTGTTTCTAATTGTGAATCAAAATTTGTTGAACTAGAGATAGTTGAAAATTTTTGTGACCGTGATAGTGGTAATGGAGACGATTGTAACGGCAACCTTTGCGATAGTGACGGTTGTTGATTTACCATTATATTCGACACTATATTTGTATATATACGATCAGCTGCTTTAGCAATATCAAAATAAACTTGTCGAATGTCTGAAGATTCATATTTCCATGCAGTTCCAATAAGGGGAGAGTGTTCCATCATGTTATATTTTATATTGTTTAAATTTAACTGTTTAATATAATTCATTCTATAAATGAAAAAAGCATTAGCAGTTTTGGTAGGTTGGTTAGATTTATTGAGTGCAAGGTTAACAACCTCTTCTATAGTTACACGAGGTTGAACAGCAATAGATTGTGAAGAAAAGGAATTATTATAATTTGGATTCATGACTTAATTAAAGATTTTAAAATTAACCTCTGCTTTTTATCTTTACTGCTAAAATTGATCAGCAATTCTTGTTACACATGACTATTTCCCAAGATAGCTATAGTATCAGGGAGTGTCAGCCATTTCCGTTTGTCCTTTGTATAGTTGTTTGGTATAATGAAAGAATTTAAATAATTATAGATGTCGACATATTTTTCTAAATTCATTTAATACATGTAATATTATTGCTTTCTGGTTGCAAATGCAGATGCACGAGCCCAAGAGATATGCACTTCGTGTTATAAATTAAGAATCTTTTGGTTGTTTAGAGGAAACAACATATGCTGTGATACATTTTTTTTGCTCTGACTTGCATAATGGATCTCTGAATTAAAAAGACACCTTTTGATTTATTTACTCATGCATGGAACAGTTCTTTTCTCAGAATTAAGATTTATTTACTCATGCATGGAACAGTTCTTTTCGCAGTTCCCTTAAACTAATTCAGTATGTAAAATTATACTGAGAAAAGTTTGATGTGTAATGTGTCTCTAGATCGAATGAATCCTCGTACGTATATCACGGTGGCGATGTCTGATGTGTTATGAAGCATAGAGTTGAATTTTTCCGCGTGTAGAATTATCTATTATTTTCCATACTACCGTAAAACGCCGTTCAAATACCCGGGTATTTTACATAGGGGGATACAATGGTCGGAGAGGGATAATAAATCTATATATTGTTGATCATTCTAAATAAAATTTAAATACCCGGTGATTGGATCATGAATTAATTTTCATACAGTGGGGACATCAAAAGACATCCAATCAAATGGGATACTTGAATGGTTATACATGTATCTCATAATCTATAACAAAAAATCATGATATAACCATTTAAAATCCCATTTGATTGGATGGCTTTTAGTGTCCCATACTGTATATCAATATCTTATTCGGAGAATGGCTCGATGAAACAGGAAACCTAACGCTAATGGAAATTATGTGGATATTTGTTTTGTTGCATATATTGTAACGCCGGAAAACATCATTGGTCTAATTTTCAAGCACAGTAGTTTGAATTTACATTTCCATTATATGTAACACCGAAACAGGAAACCTATCGTAAAACGCCGTTTAAAAATACCCCCCTATGTAATCTGATTTTTTGCAAGCAATTTTTGTATTATACCTGGATAAGTAGATACATTGCCTCAATAACAATAACAATAACAATGACAATGACAATGACAATGACAATATGATAAGAAAATTGATTTTTTTGCTGCATTTCGTACGGAGTAACTGACTGTTAATCAACCGATTTTGGAAAGGAAAATTAATTCATGATCCAAACCACCGTTCTTGAAAATTAGACCAATGATATTGATATAATGGATTTTTTACTTGTAAATTAGCTCACAGAATAAATTAGACCACAGAATAATGATGCAATGTAATTTTTTCGGCGTTAACGATATCTATATATGCAAACAATAAAATCTTATTCGGTGTTGCATATAATGATAATGGCATTGGAAATGAAAATTGATTCATAATCCAAACCAGTGAATGATGCAAACAAAAATACGACACAAGTAAATGCATCGCCTCAATAACGATGACGATAAGGAAATTAGAGATGTTTTTTCGTATGGAGTAACTGTTAATCAACCGATTTTAGATCGCGAGAGTAGAAAAGAAGGTTTGACATGGAAATTCTTTGCATTGGAAACAATGTGAAAATGCTGTACATTGAAACCACATTAAGAGGAAAAAAGCCCGGAATTCATATATTTTGACCAAAAACGCCCAAGAACATATCAACCAATATTATATCTTACGTCATTGATAAAATTTAACTTTTAGTTAATAGACACACATTAGGAGATAAAATAAGCCCGTTCGAAATCAAGATGCAAAGAATTAAATTTAATCCCTGCTACAAGTATTAGACAAGCAAGAAACAATATTCAATTGATTTTAATAATTTCATATTTAGCTGATTCTATATCCGTACACCGATACTATTATTCCACTCTTTATCGTTATGGATAATAAAGAATCATATTTTCATAATAAGTCTACAATAATAAAATAAAATCACTTTTGACATGTAATTGCCTCCGTCGATCCATTATTATAATCCGATTCCGGACTCGCACGACTTTTTTCGGGTATACAGGAAGTCACATTTCAAATTTTTACATCCTTAAATGCAAATTAATATTAATGGGTGTGATCTTGTAAACAAAATAAATAATTATAGACTCGAAAAATACATTATAAAAAAAGGATAGTAATGTCTAATTAAAAAAAATTGTATTAAAAATCATTTTATATTGTATAGTCAAACGACTTGTGGTAAAAAGTGCATCCGCGTCTACTTTCAAAAAATAAACAGAAACCCATGTAAATCGTCCGTCATTTTATTCTTCATCTGCGTGATAGTTAACTTTCCTCATTTCTCCCAATCTTCTACGAGCATTTGTCAACTCTTTTTCAAGTTTAAGAACTTCTACTTGCAGCTCCATTTCCTTAACCTTGAAATCGTAGGGAGCTAGTCTTGTATAATCGGTGGACGTTTCTTGGTCTCTTATCTGTCTGTCAGCAATGGCCTTTACTGCCTTAACCAGTGCTTTACATGCATCAATTACCGCTTTTGAAGCGACCTCAAGACGATCCTGAGATTTAGACATGAAGTCGGCTTTGACACGAGAGGCGGCCACAAGTTGAGCAGTTGCAGCGGCCACTTCGTTCGAAGCCACAATGAGTTGTTCGAGTGAGTTTCGTTTATGAATCACACCATCAGCTGTTTCTATAAGAAGATTAGTTGCAATTGCGATAGCTTTAGCTGCAGAAATAAGACCTTCTGTCCATCGATTGTTTTTCTTGTAGAACGCGGCGTGTGTACTAGAACCTCGCCCAGCGGCTACAATTTCTTGCTGTGACTCCGTAGCGCGTTTAATAAGGTTTGCTATTGCATTAGTAATCGCTAAAGCGGATTCAAGAATTGCATCGTGAACGTGCAACTCGGTAGGGGAAAGACCAGCGTCACGAGGTCGTGACATAAGTGCCTGGAGTCTCGCCGTTGCATCTTCTATAGCTTTCGCGGCGTTTAACATTTCTTGTTCAACCAAGTTCCCAACCTCACCATCAGTAGCTTTAGCAACGTCCACATTTTGTTTAGAAAGACCATGGGTCAATTTTGATACCTTTTGTAAAGCTACTTGAACATCCATTTCACCTTGCAACACAACTTGTGATCGTTGATTGGCAGGTAGAGCATCCAATTTATATGATTGGACGTTCAACAGGAATTTTTGTGACATTTGTGCTGCCTTTTTGGATGTTTGTACAATTTCCTCGCTTATCTCATCATCTTCCCCTGCTAACCGTGTTACTCCTTTTGCATTATACAGTACCTCCGAGATAGATTGTGCGAAATTGGTGGCGCTTTTAATAACTTCTGTATGATCTTTCGTTCGATCACTTTTCAAGAATTGTTGGAAAGTAAATGAAAATTCCGATGTTTGTGTCGTTGCCTTCTCTATCATTGATAAAGTATATTCAGGGGTGGAGTTCTGATTCCCGGCCTGCATTGGTGATTCCAATTCGTATATACTATCATCGATTTTTTGAATAGATGTTTGGAAGATGCTATCTGAATAAAATTCAAGAACAACATAGAATTAGTGAGATTGTTAGGAGACTTTCTTTTAATTAGATTATTTTTGAAATTACCAAGAATATCATTAAGGTTTCTCAAATGGTCCAATAATAAATTCTCAATTGTATCTTGAATTCCCTTTTCAGTACTTGTACTTGTCTAAATAGTTATTTTTTTATAGTAGAATGTTAAGAGAAATAGAGTAAACGATTAAATATAATAACAAACCTGTCGCTCTTTAGCCAAAGCCGATAAACTTTGATCCATAGCTGACTGCATAATAGCGATCTCGACATCTTTTTCCTAAAACAAAATTAATAATCATTAAATATTCACATCGAAAAAATAAAAAGTAAAGGAAAATCGGCCAAATCTAAGAACTTACTTGGGCAACGCGATCAATCTCATTTTGCTTTTCGTCTACCCGATTCAATAAATCATCTATATAAGATTGTTTTGTCTGCATAATACGTAGATAATCAATCAATCAATACGCGCGAGTAATGCAATGAACTATCATTTAACAAAAAAGTCATATTTACTCTTATTGAATCTTCTAATTCTTGTTTCTCTTTATTAAACTTTGCCATTATAGATCCAATTTCACTGCTTTTTGATCGAGCTAGTTCTTCAGCGCGATCATTGGCTAATGAAAGGTCACGCTTGACTCTCTCTAAATCTTCGCGTTGGCTCTGTATTCATAAATCAATTATCAGCTCAAGATTCTGCAACTAGAGAATTACACTTGTGTACACGTAAATTGTACATACGCTCTTTAAACGATCAAGCTCGTGCCGAGCGCGATCTCTCTCTCGAATCATATCTGCCAGTTCCAAATTCTTGGCCCTTATATCCCGTTCCATTCTCTCCATTTTATCTATAGCTTCTTGTGCTGAATTGGCTTTTAATTGTGCTGCTTTGAATTTGTTGAGGAGCTCAAGATGTTCTTGGCGAAGTTGTGAATATAGTTTTGCCAAAGCTTCATACTTATTTTTCCACATCAAGATTTGATCTAAATCCCATATGAAGATTATTAATATGTGGTAATATAATTTAATTATTGATAATTGATGAGAGAAAAATACCCTGTAAATTTTTAATCATGTCGTCCTTGGAAGCGAGTTGTTGTTGAGCATTGATATTTAATTGATTCATCTCGTTTTCTAAAGCCTTGACCCTCTGATAAGATAAACAAATTGAAGATCACTAAAAAGAAAAAGTTAAGCTTATAAATTTGTCTATGAAACAAAAAATTACCCTATCATATTGTTCCAGTAACATTTGGTTTCTTTCTGTTGAACCTCTGGCAGCGAGCAGTTCTTGTTCTAACTCTGCAACGCGTCCTTGCGCTTGACGTTGTATTTGTTGTTGAAGCAATTGCTCTCTAGCGATCCGTTCTCGTTCTTGTTGCTGTCTTTGTAGTTCTTCAAGCTCTCTCTGGCGTTGAATCTCCATTAAACGCTGTTGTTGAAGTTCAAGCTCACGTTGCTGTTGCAATTGACGTTGTTGTTCTTCGTACTGTTGTCGTTGTCTCTCATATTCTAATTGTTGCTGAGCCTGAGCTTGTGCTAAAGCTTGAGCTTGTGCTTGCTGCTGTGCTTGACTTTCTTTCCATAAATCATCCGGTTCAGAATTAATTGAAGAAGGAGCGGGTGATTTTGCAACAGGCCTTTTGGGCAATGAAGGGGCACCAGCTCCATCAATTAGTGCAGGGGGATCCTGAATTAATCAAGAGGGTCAACTCATAAAATTACGCTGACAAAACAATTTGAATGCTAATTATGTAGTGAAATTATCAAGTACCTGTGGTAATGTTGGTACATTTATGAGACTAGTCAGATATTTTAGATTCTTACACTCATAATAAAATTTTATTAACTTATAATGTTGGGCATTGTATCTGTCCCGAAGAGGAACGAGCGCGTCAATTGAATCAGTACGTCGATGCATAGCTCGTAGCATACTCGTCATAAAATTATAAATCCCGTAGCTCTCTTCTACTAGTGGTATTAAAGCAGCAATACGACATTCGTTATTAGACGAAGGTCGAAACTGAGCGAAAATCAGCTTTTGGAATTGATCAATCTGCTCCTGAAGATTCATCAAATCGTTGATCGTTTCATATCTAACAACAGTTAAAGGATTAAAATAGAACACTAGATTGTAAAAGTGTTTACAAATACTCTAAAAAAAAGGACAACATACCCCTCATTAGGATCATCAACACCTTTCAAAGAGACATATTCTTCGTAATCAAAATTGCCATTGAACTCCGGATGAAGTCTATGATAATTCAATTTCGCCAGTAAAAAACTAACATAAGCTCGAATCAGAGTACCATAACCTAAATTTTCATGGAAAGATCAGAAAGAAAAACTCCTTGAGAGACTTGTATAACTCAGCTTATAAATACCTCTAACGCCGTCACCGGTGACAGTACGAGCACACGTTTCAAGCCAATGTATCTCATTTTGAGCCTCTTTCAGAGTCTATTCAAAAGCAGAGTTATCCTTAAATGTGTCAGAAAATGAGGCAGAATTATTTTACTATAATTAAAGATAGCTTACAATAGGATGACCATTTCGAATAACTTTGTGAACTGTGATTAAAGCTTTAAATGTTTGCACTTCGTCTGCTAATATTGGTTGGACTTTTAAGCCAGTCCATATCGACTGCGAAGTGTGATGGTCCCAGGTATATAGAATCGCGCCTAAGATGCGAGGTGCGAGAGGTAAGAAAACAAGTGTCAGGAAAAAAAAGCAGAACTAAAACTTACTTCGAACGTGCTTTTGCTTTGGTGCAGTTTCGTCGATGCTTGTGGCTTTCCTGATGTTCTGTGCTAAATCATGTTCAGCTTTTTCTCGATCTACAGGTCGAGTTGGAAAGTGTGGGTCTGTCATAACTGTAGTCGAAGACAACTGATATAAAGAACTTTATTAATATACAAGTATCTTGATAAATGACATCATCCAAACAAGGTTCATTTGACAAAAAATGCCCAGAGTTGTACAATCCAATCATCCAATTACGTAGTAATGCAGATCACGTATTGTATTATATATATAGAACAAGAATTTACTGAATCATCTTGCGCAATGTTATCACTTGGCTGTTTTACTGAGGTTGGCCATAGACAAATGGCCAAACGGCCAAGAAAAATTTATTAGCCGCCAAGTGCTATAACTGGATTTCGTTATTCGTGGATTAATTAAAAGATGTAAAATGCAAATTGGCATAAAAAAGGGATTGATAATTTGTTTGGGAGAAGTAATGGCTATAGAACAGGTTAAAGAACAAAAATTCGCGCAATTTTATATAACAAAGTATCTCTTAGATTAATGGAAAAATTTTTTCTATTCAATAAGGACAAGACACCAACTTGAGTTTCATGTGATATCTGATTGGTTCAAATCTTCTGTAATAAACTTCCTGATTCAGAATTAAATCACTTGCTTCATATGATCGATCGTACTAACTGACACATAAAAACATCCATGATAGAACAATGGACTTTTATTTTCCTAATGTTATGCAAGATCTCTTGGTTTTCATGTTCATTGGTCTGGCTTGTGATTCTGGAACATTTTTTTATTAGAGGCTTAGCATTGATTTAGTTTCGCTAAGCTGTTTTTTCTTTTTATTATATTTTGGTGAGTTTTATGTAAGAAATTGGTAAGGAAGGATTGTGCGCGTGAAATTTTCTTATTTTGGTATCACAAAAGTTTAGACTAACAAATATCGCGCAAAGTAAAGCACCAAACAGCTAAGAAGTTTTGATAAGATCGTACGGGCGCGTGTGCTATGGCTTTGTTTCTCTCGTCTGAGGCTTTTGTCTTATTGCTATTTGCAGCACAAAATACGGAACGATCAAGATTTAAATTAGTTTAGCCAAAAAAATTACTATATATTAAAAATATGAAGAATATCTGTTGTCTGACATAATTTTTGTATAAACAATTAATTTTGTTTATTGGAACTTGCCAAACTTGGGTTTTTGTTCTTTTCGTACACGAATAAAAAGAAAAATACGAAGAAATCGATTGGTTAACTTTTTGGAAGACATGATGCGAAAAATATTTTGTTCTATATTTGACATATTCACTTATTAATACGAGGAGCACGGATCAGATGTTCTTGGAGAAAATTAACATATGTTTATCACTGGGAATCTCTTGTTGTTCAGTAATCCGTTCAGACTTTCCGATAACATGCTACAATCGATGTAACGATTGCAACGATGCTTTTCTCTTTTGATCTTGTTAGTATTCCGAAAAAGATCACATCGGAATAATATACATTTACAAATTGCATCGAATTGATTGGTTTCCCGTGTAATGCATTTAATAAATCTCTCGCCTTCTGCATCCCCCCGGAAATTATACGTTTTCGGATAATTTCTTTATTGATCTATTGACAAAGACATTTTTACCCGACGCGCATATAATAGTTTGCTGTTCAGGGTCAAGAAATACATGTATAAAGTATTGACGTTTTTATTATTTGAAGAATTTAATTGTCAGTTTAAACAATCGAATGAATTTGTTAATTTAGTTGATGTCGTCTTTTTTTTTGCCCTGCAAGGGGCGCATCTTTCGTGATAATTGGTTGTGTGAGAATGATTTACTAAGGTCACCGACTATATTTGGACTTTAAAAGTATGTGCAAGCACCGAAATTAGACTAAAAATGAAAAACACACACTTCGATGAAATGGTTTAGCGTCGAGAAAATTCATGGTGATATTAATTAAGACATACACCGCAAATAATTCTGCAAAATAATTCACGCCTGGAAGTAAGACTATTTGTTCCCCAATGTCGAATCTGCCGTTGTGTAATCGTACATGTAACTTTTGGTTTGCAACGTATCATTCACGTGCATGAATATTATTATATTAATTCTACGAAAGCAGACTCGATTGGATAGTTGTCCCAGATTTTGGTGAATTTGCGCCAAACACTTTTGCGCGGGAATTTCCAGCATCAACATCGAAGTAAATGCCATGCTTCACACGTATAGATATTGCCACCCGGAAAAGGCATTGACATATTTTTTCCGCTACCAAAATTGCCATCAAGAAGGACGAGGAGAACAATGATCGAATTCACCAAGTCACTCAATACCACGAATTAACTGTGTAAAAAATTGGCTAGGTTTAATCAAGTATCCCCCACAGATATGGCAAAAATGGTTTTATTATTATCAGGGAAATCAGTATTTAAATTGTTACTAATAATAAGCACAAACACAAGATTGTTTAAAGTATCTAACAACAATAATATGTTGCTAACAGCTTGATGATGAAATCAAAAAAAACCCTTTGTTTATTTGGAGATTGCAAATATCGTGTGACAAAAACAACTAACATTTATGTAATAAATATATGTAATATATAAGATGATAAATTCGGCGATAATAATATATCATACATAAAAAGTATAAAAAGTGACGCTAAACTTACTTTGAATCTGACTGTTCATCAACTTCTGGAAGTTGCGACCACCATATAACAAACACATAATTGCATGTAGAGGAACGTCTTTACCATAAAAATACAAAAAAATTACTTCACGAAAACTTATAAAAACCGCTTCGTATTTTATCATTTAAGTAAATTTCCCTTGCCCCATAATTTTGTTCTCAAAAACAAATACACGCACACAACACACTCCCACACAAGTCGTAAACCAATTCGTCTCCTCTAAAAAATGCCTCCTCTCGCAACAACGCAAACGATTCGAGATCATCCTTATCATAAAACTACTTCAAATGATGAACGGTCGACGTGTAACAACCACAATAGTAACAGTAGTTCTGGCCCTCACAACAGCAGCAACAATAGCAATATCACCTCTCCAGTTACTGTCATCGAAGCTAATTTAGATACAAGTGGTGAAAGAGAGAAGATTGTTGTGACATTAAACGATGGGGTTAAAATAGAATTCTATGTTCCAACTTCAAAAGAAATCAGAGATCGATTTTTTTATCGAAAAGCCAAATCGTCGGACAAACCAGCTCGCCCTCCAAATAAATTCTTTATATTCCGTACAATGTTCCAAGGATCATTGGATACATTTAAACTTCAAGTTCCAATCGTTTCTGAGCTTGCAAGTCAAGTCTGGAGAAAATCAAGCAAAGAAGTCAAAGAAGCATTTTCAAAATTAGCGGAGATTGCGAAAAATGAGCATAGTGAAATCAATCCCGGATACGTGTACAAGCCATACCGAAAAGTCTCTTTGACTAAATCAGATCTATCGTCGCCCTCTGGTGAAGAAGAATCGAGTGAGACTTCGAGTTCTCCGCCTTCTCCAACAACACCTTCGTCTTCGTGGTCGAGCACGTATTTACCGATAACTTATCCTGGAGATTATATGCCAGGCTGCTTTTCCAATCAAGTAGAGAGCTATGAATCTCCGACAACAATGTATAACTCTGATCAAAGTGATGCGATGTTTCAGACTCCATCTACGTCACTTGATTTTCATCCGAGGTTTAATTCCGACTATCAAAATTACATTCCGATGAGCTCCGATGCATGCTACACCACTTGTCCGACATTAGCACCATTTTTATCCTATACGCCAGTGTATTCGTCGCCTTATGAATTAATATTTCCATATGATGACGACAATCAAACTCCTGTCTCCATTGAATTTGCTTCTTATTCAACTGAAGAATTCCCAAATTTGACGCCAACAATATACGATAATAATATCGACAACAATAACAATCACAGCCATCAAAATAACAACTTCCACAACAATAGGCTATGCCCATTAGATCAATCGACGACAATAGAACAACATCCAATTCTCGAAACAAAACTAATAGATTCATATTCAGACAATATTCGCACGACAAGTCAACCACAAATTGAGCATTTACAAGAAGTAAAAATAGAATCACATTATCGAACTAAAATCTCCAGGAAAACCACAAGGCGTTACACCCAAAAACAACAAGACGAAAAAATATTACACCAATGTACATTCTCTGGAAATATTGATTGTCAGTCGACACCCTCTACACCAACTTTTAGTTCGCTTGAATCAGCCCTAAATTGTCAAGCGAATACATACACACTTTGGGATAGCCTATTCCCGGATCTTTTATTGAATTAAGGAGACTATAATGGGAGTGTGTGTGTGTGTGTGTGTGTGTGATACAGCTAAGATATAATAACAAATAGAAGATAGTTCCCGAAATGAATAACAATCAAATTAAGATCATTATTCTCTACATGTTTAATTCATTACATTATCATACTAAGCAATTCCTGTGACAATAATAAGCTTTATTGTGTTTCCGTAATATATGAATTCTTGCATTTAATCCATTACATGTACATGTTATGTTCAATTTCATAAATTAAGAACGGAATGGGACTTTTCAATACGATGACAACACTCATTTGCATCTACACATGCACATGCACACGCACTTTGATAAAATTCACATTATGAACTTTTTTTCTTTTTTCCCTTCTCCCTTCTCTTTTTAGCATTAAATATTATTAGAATTACGTAGCTTATTCGATCGAATGTGCAAACTGACTGAACAAACCGTTGATTGATTGAACATGTATAGATACTAGAAATAAAATCATTTGGTTTTTATTGGATAGATAGACGAACAAATGTATATTAATCATATCATTGAAGGATATATCGGTGCACTTTCTTTCTCCATTTAGAAATTATTTTTAGGGGTGATGTTCTTTTACTACAATGAGTTACCTTTCCAATTGTCGCCAAAATTTATTGATGAATTTCTTCGAATGCACGTACATTGTTATTTAATTATCGTAATGTCAGCCAACAGCAAAATAGATGATGTAATACTATCGTAAAAAGTGTATTATTGTTTGATAGATTGATTATCTAGTTTCGACCGAAACTATGCGTGTTTTCAAAGTTGACACTATTCTAATAACTACGATAATTAATGCACTCTTTTACTATACTAAAATCAGACAACCAAATTAAAATCATGAATCCGTCCGTCACATTTTATCGTAGATTCACGTGCTAAAAAATTTGCGTAACGAACGTTCCGGGTCTTCTTTAACGCACACAGTGAATACAGTCACAGTCACACCCTGTATAGTCACGTTTTACGATCACCTCCATTCAGTCACAACCTCTTTAAATTCACACTTTTTCTGATCTCGAGGGTGTGATGATAAAAATACGACTTCGTCGTATTTTTATTTTTGACTCATATAAAGAAATATGGGTTCATGCAAAAACAGGCCAAATGGATACCAAATACGTAATTATTCAACGTTAATGTACTTTCACACAAAGATATATCGTTTAGAACATTGAAAAGTCCGAATCTTTACGATATAAAAGAAAACAAAAGAAAAACTTCTTTTGCTCTCCGTTGCCATAACCCATTATCATGGATGGTTGAATTCATTACACAAATCATCGATCTCCGTTACTAACGCTAAAATGTATATCATATATGATTGATAAGAGAAGATTTTCAGAATAAAGTTCTGTGGTTCCATAGAATTATCCCATGTTGACTGCTTGCTCGCATACCCGTTTTCTTTGAATTCTGCATCGTTTGCGTAATATCCGACTACAATGTATTATGGTATTTCAGTTTTGAAAAGGAAAAGAGTTATTTGATTCTCGGAGCGGGCTTTCTTGTGACTTTTCTTATATTGGTTAAGGAATTAATACAGTCCCCGTGAATATGACACCAGTTACTATGACGCGCGTTATATGACGAAAACAATAGTTTATATTTATTCAATACTATGACATACTCGCTAAAACTCAGTCCCCGATGATGTCATATTAACGGGGTGGATTGTATTTCTAGAATACAGAAATGTTATATTTCTTTCTAAACTTTCTATGTCGAGGCCAATTAACATCAGTTTTTGTTTTGCACAGACATAATGCTATAGAGATTTCTCTTTTTACGGAAGTGGCCAATTACCATATTTAATAGTCAAACTTTAGCTAATAAAAGATTTCATAATATTCTTTCTACATACGTAGTCAGGAAAAAACCGGATTATTTGCCAGCTGATAAACTGCGGAAAATGAAATTCTCCAAATGACAAATTATAACAAAGTATCAGTATCGATATTGTTACGTACTTGTAATACGGTAATTTTAACTTGCAAAATCCGAAAGCTTAATCCAATCGTTTAATGTTTTCATTGCTAAATTATGTATATTTTATATCAACCTTTTTAAGAAACAAGGTTTTGTATTGCAGCAAAAAACAAAATAAAAGGGAGCACAGCATTATCAATCTGTGAAAAACCTAAATATGAGCTTCCAAATAATGCACACTGATCCAGAAAAGGAAATCACTGTCTCGCGCTTTTGGATCATGAATAACAGTAATTCTTTGTTACAGAGGTAATCGATACAAAAACTAGTTTAGTGTTTTCTATCTGTTATCATCATCTGTGAATTTTTACGAGCAACTTCAAATATATCACCTTGACTTTAAGTACATGAAATTTAGTTCGCATATAATAAAATTTCCTAAATAGCTTTCTTTATCTCTTTCTAATGTGGATTATAATAATAAAAGGTAAGTTCATATTCGTATCGGAAAGCGAGCAGTCGCAAATATAAAGAGGGGCGTCATTTTCATTTTAAGGATAAAAAGTGGTTTGATAACAAATCAACGAATTAAGAATAACAAACATCAATGACACTATTCATTGGGTATCCGCTTTCACGTGCACAAAAAAGGAAACTTGAACGAAATGCAGCCAACGCAACTAAAACTTTGCGACCATTGAATTCATTTTTTCATTATCGTGGTGATGTTCAACCGGTACTTCGTAAACAGTATCCTACTATGAATGAACGACTTATCTCCAAACTGGTCAGCATAAGTTGGAAAAAAGCTTCGGCTGAAGTTAAACAAAAGTACACGGAGAAAGCAGCTCGGGCAGCAATTGAGCATAGAAAACGTCATCCAGAATACGTGTTTCGACCAAGGCGAACGAAACCATTGAATCCTAAAAGAATTTCGGTGCGTTTTGGACCAACTTTCAGCGTTAATTCCTCGACACCATTAAAAGTTGAAGATGTTCAAGCGCCAGTAGGTAATCAAATCAATGATCTATCAAAGAACAATTGTGGACGACCATTTATGCTAATTCAATATATTCCACAAGAAAATGAAAACAAGCTACTTGAAGAATGCGTTGTCTCGATTAATGATTGTTCTCAAACTACAGTAAAATTTTCAAAAATCGAAGACACGAAAATATTACTTGAAAAAGATTCACCAGACTCTACAGATGTATTATCAAATTACACAAGTGCTACTAACGATCAAGAAATAATGACGGATCCTTTTGAGCAAGGAAAATGGAATCAAAAGGCAGCAGATGAAATGATTAAATTTCATCTGACAGGAGAAATCGATAATAATTTATTAGAAACTAATTTCGATATTCCTATTCGTAATGCATTTTGACAATTTTAAATTTATTCAGCAGTAAATTAGATCTTTGAGCTTGTACAGTACATATCGATATGTTTTACTTTCTTGTTATGATGTTTAAATTTGAATGATTGTGTATTTAAAATTATTGGCTCGATATCTTTATTTCACAATGAAAATAAATATAAATATACAGTAGCAATAAGATAAATCGACTTTTCCCAATCATATAACTAGAATTAATTTACAATTATAAATCCATCAAAATTTGTTGATGCATTTTGGCATGTTTTCAATTTATATTTCGATATTGGATATCTAAATCTTTTTATTAACAAATGATTAATAATTTTTATTTTATAATTAAATAATTAAATATATAATATCAAGTTTAATATACAGTTATAGACAAAAGTAATAAGATATATTATATTTTCAAAAAATAAGACATAAGTCTCAAGTCAAATTTGGATGCAAAAAATCACCAGTAATTTGTAATACGTATTTAGTTTTATTTTTTTATTTTTCTATAATTTTATAAAGAATATTCGTTGGTACAATGAAATCTTGTGTAATCACGAGTTTAATTGCTAAAATTTCAAGTATTTTGGGCTAGTGATGTGCATGTACAATAATGTCATGCATATTTTTAAACAAAAGAAAACTAAATTAAAAATTGTATTATTATTTTTATACATGTAGTTTATTATTATTTAAATAATTAATACAGTCAAGTCTCAATATAACGATTTATCAGTATATCAAAAAATTTTTGTCGATATAATGATGTACATGTACTATGCTTTTCAAAATTTTTAATACGTTCTACGTATATTGCGAACATTATACGTATATAGAAAACACTAACGTTACAAACTTGAGATACAATCCTTTTTCCACACTCTCATTCCTCATAATGATGCAAACAGTGCACTTGTGTACAACTCCGCTGATATTTATACCCACATATTTTGTCACAAACAATATACATCTCTCCCATTCTCATCACATATATCGCTCATAAAATATATAACACTCTCAAAGAGATGGTCTAAGAATCCGATCTCAATAAAAATTGAATATGATATTCTCTCTCTATCGAACACAAATATAGTCTCAAATACATTATAAATCACATTATTGTCTAAACACTATAAACTGCTAAATATGTCGAATATTAATATTTCAGTCATCCTTAATAAAAAGCTAAATCGCAAAAACTTATTAATAATCGTCCTGGATATGATATGAAATATGTCATTAATTATACCTCTAATTATTGTGGTGGAGTGTCAAATTATCATTAGAGTTATTTTCTTCCAAAGAAGGTTTTTATCAGTTTCAACAGATGTATTTCGAGCTTTGGTAATGTTCATTGTCCACGTTGTTAATAAAAAAAAAGGAATGCAAGATTTTCAGACAAACTGACAAGATGAACATTTATAGTTACACACCCCTCGATCATATGATGATGGTAAGTGAATAATTTTTACGTCACTGCCTTATTATATAAAATAAAGTTTATCTACATGTAAAAATTTAGGACCCGAATCCATGAATCATTTAAAAGGAAAAACTAAATACATGGTGTGTCACAAGGGCGCAGTGATTCATTTATAATTACATTCGGACTGAAATGGTCTCTTCTTTTCGCTTATTAGATGCATTCGTGATGACTTAATTTACAATAAAGTACCAATTCGTAATATAATAAAAAATTGTAAACGACGTTAATAAAAACGAAGATCCAATCAGTAAAACAGTGGATTCAGTTCTGAATTCCATATGATTTATTTTTAAGCATAATTCGGCACATAATGTTGCGGACCCAACTAAAAGGTATCAGATACAAGGTATTGAGAGCATTGCTTTTTTCCAAGTGTTATTAAATATCGAAGTTATTAGAAATTTTTTCAGGGAATGATTTGTCCTACTACTCACCGGATGACGAATATAGTGACTCTGAAGAGTCTAAGGCATTAACAATTAAGCACAGTATCCGTATTGTATCTGATCGATTCTGATTCAATAACATGTTTTGGAAAAATCACTTGGCTAATTGCTCGCGTTTTATTCCAACATTAAGTTTCTCTCAAGAGATTTTACGAGAACACCCACAAATTTCCAGAACCCAAGTACATGTTCAACCTCAAGGCGAGAGGACTCACTACTCCTGAAAAATTCGTTGCATGGTGGAACGAGAACCATCCAGATTTTCAGATCACAGTTGATCCAATCAAAAAATGGACCTATCGCGAAGATTATGACCCTTCCCGCTATAACATCCATTGGGAAGAGTATGGAGATTAGAAAATTTCTTTAATGAAGCAATTTGAGTGATGATGATATTAAAATATTATTTGATTAGTTCATAAGATAAAGTAATTTTCCTCGTTAAATTTATAGTATAGGATTTTAAACTAATGAATGTAACAATTATAAATTAATGTAAGCTTCGTAATGACGAAATGATGAAATTGCCAATAAAGTGACGAAACTGTTGACAAATGATTTTGTTAGAAATCATTACTGATATATTGGTTGAAAGTTCCGATAGAGTTGATTTTCATCAAGTATAATGTCGAATGGTCGGCCATGTTGATAACTGAGACGGAGAGTAAAATCAGTTATGCCTTTCGCTTCTCTCCTAAGAAGATCAGAATATGCTCGTACTCTTTCATCGAAGCATTCTATTTGGAAAATATTAGTTCTTGGACAATGTATTATGAAATCCTATAAATGCATAACCAAATCACAAACCTATAAGCCAGATTACTTGCACATTGTTTGCAAAACCTACTCGCCTCCCAATTACATGTAATCCAGCTTCTATTGCTCTCATGTATCGTTTGCCAGTGGTTCGATTTTTAACCATTTTCCACTTTGAAATTGGTTTGAAAACAATCAACCCATTATTGTATTCACTGAGAAAATGACCATTCTCCGTGGCCTATTCCAATTCTTCTTCCAAATCCTCAATATTGTGATAATATGAGTCAATTTTTTGCACAATTGACCGTAATAATATTCACTTATTTTTCTATAATAGAAATTTAAAGGATGATATTTGTTTAGGAAATAGAATATATATTAACATTGATACTGTACTTCTTCTAAAAGCTTGCGGCTGCAAATTTTCCTGTATGAAAACCCAGATGTGCCATACACTATATCCCAATATAGATACTTCCAATTAACATTAAAGATATCACAAATATCCAAAAACAAATGCACAAGATCACCAAAAGGACCAAGGCAATAGGGAAAGATACAATCCAAAGGGCCAAAATAATAGGGAAAGATATAATTCAAAGGATCAAGATAATAGGAAAAGTCATGATAATCGAACATGTTACCAAAGTTACAATAATCCAGACATAAAAATTCCACATAGCTTTGGTTTTTCATCAAGAAAATTCACAAAATTAAATATAATTAATTTAAAATATTGGTTTCACAGTTGATTAAAACTAACTGTTTATCAACGCCACGTAACTGAAAAATTATTACTATTTTATTAAATAATTCATATTATAATTTAATTGGATATTATTTAATTAATTTTGTTGATTAAAATTAAGTTAAATATTAGTAGATAGAATTTTATTTATTAATATTTTTAGATAATAAAAACAAATATAATAATTATAATAAAAGTAGTATAAAAAATTAATAATAAATTCAGTATAATAATCACAACAAAATTAATATAATAATTATATTAAAAATAATATAATAACTATAACAAAAAAATATTTGTAAAATTACTAAATAATATATTTTAATTAATAAATTTCTTAGATTTTAGATTTTTAATATAAGATTATAGATTTAAATTTATAATAGCTAACAAATTTATGGAATTATGCATTAAATTTTATTAATAAATATTTTTTATTTTTAATATAATACAAAAATTATAAGTTATAATTTAATATTTATTTTAACATATTTTTCTGGATTTTTTAGATTTTTTTCTGACAAAGTGCAAAGTTATTACAAAAATTTTTTATAATTAATTTTATATTTTAATTATAAAAAATTTTTGCAAAAACTTAATAATTAAAACAACTTAGAGAAAATCTAAAAAATCTAGAAAAAATATATATTAAATTTTAACTTATAATTTTTAATTTTTGCTATATTTTATTAATAAAATTGATATATAATTTAATTTTATAATTTCTAATTACTATATTAATTATTTTTAGATTTGAAATATTTTTAGTTAAATAACTTATAAAATATCTCAAATTATATATTATATTAAATTTAATTTTAAAAATAAATTATTTATAATAAATAATTTTATTTATAATTGAAGTTATTTTTAAAACTTATTATTTATATTATAACTTATAAAAATTATATTTTTATATATTAAAATTTTAAAGTTATCTAATATTATTTTAGTTTATTACTAAAATAATATATATTATCTATACTTTAAATATAATTTTAAGAATTTTTTATACAAAAACTTAGTTTTTTATTTTTAACTTAATAAAAATATATCAATAAATAAAAAAGAAAATAAACAAAATATTAAAATAAAAGATAAAAAATAAAATATTAAAATAAATTTATAGAATAAAAAATAAAATATTAAGATAAAAAAATAAAAATAATTTAATAAGTCATTTTTACTAATATAATTAATTTTAAATTAATTTTAGATTTTTTTGTTTTTAATTATTTTTGAATTTTTTTAATTTTTAAAAATTAAAAAAATTTATAATATTATTTTATTTGATTTTATAATATAATAAATATATAATTTATATAATTTAAATTAGATAAAAAATAGTATAAATAATTAAAATTATAAGTTAAAAAGTTAATATTATTTTTAAAATAGATAATAAATCTTTATTTATACTAAAATAAGCTCAAAAATTTTCTTTTAACAAAAATAAATATAAATCTAATCTATAAATAATTCATAAACAAATAAATATTCATAATTTATTTAATTAAATTAATTTGATATTACTTTATAATTAGAATAATTTATTTATTATTATTATTATTAAATATCAATAAAATTTTTAGCCAATAAAATTATAAAAATTAATATAATTATTTAATTAAATTACAAGATTATATATTATAAAAAGATTTAAAACAAATATAAAAAAGAAAAAATAATTTATATATCGAAATTTTGTTTATAAAATAATTTTTTTATTTTAATAAAAATATTTTACAAATTTTATATATATTGTTATTTTTATATTATTTAATAACTTTAATTTAGATTTTAATTTTAACTCTTTAAAAATATTAATAAGTATATTTTTCTTATAATTAAGCTAAGAAATTATCTAAAAATTAACAAATATGATTTTATTATTAAGAGATTATAAACAAATTGAAAAATATAATTTTGTAATTAAATAAAAAATTATAAAAAATAATATAAAACTATAAAAAAATTAAATAAAAAATTATAAAATTAATAAATTAATTTAATATATAATGATAATTAAAAATAATGTAATAACTTTAAAATTTATTAATTAAATATAATAAATATAGATTTTTTTCTTTATATAAAGTTTTTAATTTTATTAATAAATATTTTTTAGTTTTATATTAAAATAAAGATATTTTAATATATATTTTTTTCAGATTTTTTAGATTTAATTTGATAAAGCTATTTTAATTATATATAAAATCAATTATTTTTTATAGATTTTAATTATAAAAAAAATTAACTTTATATATAATTAGAATAACTTTATCAAATTAAATCTGAAAAATCAAAAAAATATATATATTAAAATATATAATATTATCTTTATTTTAATATAAAAATAAAAAATCTCTATTAGTAAATTAAAAACTTTTATATAAAAAGAAAAATTTATATTTTACTAAATTTAATTAATAAATTTTGTTGTTATATTATTTCTAATTGCTATTATAATAAAATAAATTAATTTAATATTATATTTATTTATTAATTTTTAAAATAATTTAATTATTAAAATATATAATATTATTTTTATTTTAATTTTAGTAAATTGAAACTTTTATATAAAGAGAAAAATTTGTATTTTATTATATTTAATTAATAAATTTTGTTGTTATTATATTATTTTTAATTGTTACTATATATAATAACTTAAAAAAATAATGTACTATTTTCAAAATTTATTAATAAAATATAATAAAATACAAATTATTTTATGTAAAATTTTTTATTTTTATATAATAAATTTATATTTAATATATATTTTCAGGTTTTTATATTTAATTTGAAAAAGTTTTTCTAATTACAAAATAAATTAATTAATTTTCTATATATTTTAATTATAAAAAAATAATCAACTTACTTTGCAATCAGAAAATTTTTCTCAAATTAAGTATTAAAAATCTGAAAAACTATATGTTAAAATATTAATTTAAAAATTTCAATTAGTAAAATTTAAAATTTTTATATAAAAAAAAACTTACTTTATTATATTTTATTAGTAAAGTTTAAAAATAATGTATTATTTTTATAAGTTATTATATTTAAATTCATATTTAAATAATATATAAAAAATATTTTAATTAATAAACTATATTTATTCATAAAATTTTAATAATTTGAAATAATAAAATTTGATTTAATTTTTATTATATTTTATTAATAAATTTATAATAATAATTAAAAATAATATAATAATATCAAATTTATTAATTAATATTTTTTATTTTTATATTAAAATAAAAATAATATTATATATTTTAATATATATATTAGATCTTTTAGATTTAAAATGATAAAATTGTTTTAATTAAAGATGATATAGTAATTATTACAATGTAATGATAAATAAAACATCACCTAGTTACAATTAGTTGTAGCTTATAAAATTTTGAAGTTGCAATATGTTGTAATAGGTAATAAATAAGTGTTACATACTTGTTGTATTATTACTAGTTCTAATTATATATAAAGTTAATAATTTTTATTAAATATATATTAAATTTTTATATTTTACTATATATATAATATAATATTATAATTATTATTTATTAAGAATATATAATTAAAATAATAAATTTTTATATTACTTATTTATATAAATATTAAAAAAAATAATAAATATTATATAATATTAAGTTATTATAAATTAATTCTTTTTCTTTTAGATAAAATTTTTATTATATTTAATTAATAAATTACTAATATATCGATCACTAAACATGTCATATCATCTGTAATTCATTATCTAAAAATCTTGTATCATAAAGTAATATCAATATTATTTGATAATACAACTCTCTTATTTCTTAATTCAAATAAACAAATCATTTAATTAAACTTATTTTTGAGATATTGATCCATTTAATTACATTCTTTGTTTTAATCTTAAATGACAATTTGTTTTTATATAGTATTTAAAACAAATAATAACAAAAAACAAAATTTTAAATAATCATTTTTCTATGAGCAATACTTTTTAATAAAAAATACATATTAAAGTTAAATCTTTATATTTCTAATAATTATTATATTTATATAAGATTAATATTAATAAACTTGTTTTTTAATCTCTTTTTGTTGTTTTAATCACAAATTTTAAATTCTTTTTACATCCCAGTTCTCAGATTTAGTATCAGGTAAGGTGCAAATTTCGATTAACACTTCTTCCATTTTTTCTTTAAATAAATTATCTAATTGTTTCAAAATAATAAAAATTTTTTGTTCTGAATTAATTAGATATCGACGTTTTTTGGTTTTTGAAGATTATTCAAAATTACTTATTTTTGAAGATTATTTTTCAATTTGTTGTGATATTTTTTGTTGTTGAATTGTATTTGTTTTAATATTTTTTTTATGACATTCTTTTATAGTATAAGAAAAAGTTTTTTCAATTTCTT